CTGTTACTTATATAGAGATGGTAGATATGGCTATATCTAGTCCCAAAGAAACACAGACTATGGGATATGCTCAGTTTCAGCTGTCTGACTTTCACTATCAAATGGTTAGGCCAGTCAAACAGCATAACTAGAAGTCTGACCTGACTCCTTCCACCTCCATCTCTGGAGCCAGATGTTCTGCAGTAGGAAGCAGAGATTTAGCATTGCAAAAAGCCCCCAAACCCAGTTCAAATTAGTCACCATGTTTCAATGACTGGATTTAGGTAGTTAAGAGGTCAGCTGTTGGATGTTTAAAAGGAAATCCTTGACTGCATTAGATTGGGCTTTACAGAAAGTTAGTCTGGTTATATCCTCAGTAGGTAAGAAGAAGAGACTGAGCAAATGACACATGGAGAAACTTCTGCACATGAATAAAAATGAAAGGCACCTCCTTGGATTCCAGCGCTTTTTTTTTTTCGTAATCTTTGGGGAACTTTAAGTTATTCTCCACCTTTCCTAGACCCTGGCTTTTAGAGAGTCACTGTGGTGATATTAAAAGAAAAGAGAGTTTGGGAATCCTAGAGCTGTGTGGAATGTAGCCAGTCCCAAGCATGCAAAAATAATGAATCAGGCCCTGAAAAATCATTAGATGGGCTTAAAACTAATGGGCCTTTTAAAAAAAATTCTGCCTTCTGGTTTGCCCTGAAACCTTGAGGGCTGGAAACTTTTTTTTTTTTAAATGAAAGACGAAATTCTCATGAAATCACACAACTTCAGAAGCTGGGGCTTCAAGAAAAACACAAAATATGGCTAGAGTCACAATTAAAATCACTCGAGTTGGCAACACTGTGAAAATCATAGTACTTGCCCTTCACTTTTTGGAATATTGCTTTTGGCTTTCGTCTACATGGGCTCTCACTTCCCAAATCCCTCCTCATAAGAACATAATGGTCATACTGGGTCAGACTAATGATCCATCTTGCCCAGTATCCTGTCTCTGACAATGGCCCAGAGCTTCAAGGGGAGTTTACAGAACAGGGCAATTATGGAGTGATCCATCCCTGTCTTCCCCTCCTGGCTTCTCGCAGTCAGAGGTTTCGAGTTGCCCTGAGCAGGGGTTGCATCCCTGACCATCTTGGTGAAGCCAGTTCTATTTGTAGCCATCACAACATCTCATGGCAGCGAATTCCACAGGTTAGTTGTGCGTTATGTGAAAAAGTATTTCCTCTTGTCTGTACTAAACCTGCTGCCTATTCATTTCATTGGGTGACCCCTGGGTTTTGTATTGTGGTAAAGGGTAAATAAACCTTCTCTAGTCACTTTTTCCACATTATTCATGATTTTATAGACTTCTATCATATCCCCTTTAGTCATCTCTCTTCTAAACTGAACAACCCTAATCTTTTTACTCTTTTTTTTTAATCGTTCCATACCCTTGATTATCTTTGTTGCTCTCCTCTGAACTTTTTCCAGTTCACTATATCCTTTCAGAGATGGGTAGGGCCCTACCAAATTCATGGTCCATTTTGATCAATTTCACAGGCAGAAGGTTTTAAAATTGGCCAATTTCACATTTTCAGCTGTTTACATCTGAAATTTCAATGTTCTAACCATGGAGGTCCCAACCCAGAAGTGGGTCTGATCTCACCACCACCCCGTCCCAGCTGCCATGCCAGGGAAGAACAAGTCCTGTCCTCTCCCAGTCCAGCAGGGGCTCACAGCTAGGAGTCTCCTTAGCTGGGGCACTCCCTGGAGCAGGGGGATATCAGACCCATCTCCACAAATCTCCTCCAGCTACAGAAACCTTGGAGGCTGGAGCTTTCTGCAGCAGGGGGAGGTACTGGGAGGTGGGTCTGATCTCCCACCGAGAGCGAGAGCACTGGGGAAGGACAAGTCCTCTCTCTCCCCAGCTCAGTTGGGACTTGCAGCTAGGAGCCCCCTGACTGGGGTGCTCCCAGCAGCAAGAGGGAGATCAGATTTCATAGGGAAGGGCATATTTCATGGGCCGTGACACATTTTTCACAGCTGTGAAATTGGTAGGGCCCTAGAGATGAACAGAAGGCAGTATTCCAGGTGTGGGCACACCATGGATTAATGTAGCGGTATCGTAATATTTTCAGTCCTATTTTCTATCCCTTTCCTAATAGTTCCTACCATTCAAGGAGCATTTTTGATTGCTGCTTCCCACTGAGCTGTAGTTTTCAGAGAACTATCCACAATGACTCCAAGAACTCTTTCTTGAATGGTAACAGCTAATTTAGATCCCTTCATTATATATGTGTAGTTGGGATTATTTTTTCCAGTGTGCATTACTTTGCATTTATCAATCTTGAATTTCATCTGACATTTTGTTGTCCAGTCACCCAGTGTGACAAGGTTGGGCCTCACCACCTGGCGCCTCCTGCTGGTTGTCTCCAGGAATTAGCTCTGTCCAGTGGAACGCCCCCTCCTGGTGGTGTCCCATCCGTTGTCTCGCCCTCGGTTGGCATCTGAGCCCGCATCGCTCACCAGCTCGCGGCGTCCTTTTCGAGCCACTGCCTTCCGGCAGTGCCCTTAGTCCAGCCTCGCCCCCTTCCCGGGGGTGATCAATCGGCTGTCTCTCTGCACCCCGGCCAATGTGGGCAACTGCACCCGCAAAGTCACACCCCTCTTGGCAGGGGGTTGGTGCAGCCCAAGACGGCCACTCCCGTCGGCTGGGTGTAAGGCAAGGGGGAAGGGGGGGACGCAGGCCCGCCCACTACTCTGGGTCCCAACCCAGGGACTCTCTAGTGGCAGCCATCCTGCCCTCCTTCTCTCCCTCCGTCTGTCCATGTCCCTGGGCCGCTTCCCCTTCGGCCCGTCACACCGGCTAAGCCCTTCCCCTCAGGGCCTGCAGCCTGGCAGACACGGGGCTGGAGTTCCCTGCTGCTCCCCTGGGGCTGCCCAGCACTGCGTTGTCCCAGGTGCTAGTCTCCCACCTCTGGAGACAGACCTTCCCCTGTCAAAGTCCTGGGACAGACTGCCTGCTCCCTCCCTGAGCAGCCTTTTTATAGGGCTGAGCCTGGCCCTGATTGGCTGCCTCCGATCCTGGCCCTGATTGGCTCCCAATTAGCCCTTCCCTCATTGGCTGTCCATCTGCACAGGCCTGCTGCAGCCTAAATTCTCAGGGAGTGGGGCAGCCGCCCCACTACACCCAGTTTTTTGAGGTCTCCCGTAACTCTTCATAGTCAGCTTTGGACTTAACTATCTTGAATAATTTTGTATCATCTGCAAACTTTTCTACCTCACTGTATCTTTTAAACAGGACCTTCCCTGTTATCCCATGACTGCTTAGTTTCCTCAAGAGCCCTTGCTAAGGGACCTTCTCAAAGGCTTTCTAAAAATCCAAGTACTCAATATCAGCTTGGTCACTCTTATTCATATGCTTGTTGACATCCTCAAATAATTCTAATAGCTTGGTGAGGAATGACTTCCCTTTACAAAAGCCATGGTGACTTTTCCCCAACATATCATGTTTGTGTCTGATAATTCTCAAGGTTCTCTTTGATGTTAGGTTCAAATGAACTCAGAATCTCATAATGAAACTCAATGAAAATGGCTACATTTCATTTGATTTATTGTCAAAATCATGTGGAACCCTGAATTTCATGTGAGTTAATGAATGAGGCCAGATGCACTTAGCTATGCATTCCAGAGTCACTTAAAAGGTTTGGGAACCTTTGGGATTCTGGCCTGCATTTCAAGTTTTTAACAAGATCCATTATGAGGCAAAACATGTAGTTTCAATGTAATAATTTTGCACATCTGTAATCAACTGTACTTCCCCTGAGGAAATCTCTTTGTAGGCAGCAAATTGTACATGAATGAGAAAATGAAGCAGATCATATTTGCAACAAGAAAAGGAATACCAAATGCATGCGTGATGGTATGCCCACTCTCTGAGCACCAATTACTGTGACTGCATACACAAAATGGGTAATTGTGTATGCAAATATGACTAATTAACCATGTATATGCCCAGCTACTAGGTTTCCATGTGAAGCCATGGTAATTGTATGTGGAGATTAAACATACAATTGTACTTTAATGTCACATGTCTACATTTGGAAAGTCTGTCCCAGGATTTGTAGTGGCTGAAACAACAAAGGTAAAGTTGTAGAGTAAGTTGAAGTTTGTGTTCTTTCGTCACTCCTTTTCTGTCGTGACTCAGCTTGTCACCTGTGATGATCAACATTTCATGTTTGTCAAGATGCAGTACAGTACTTTGTGTTGCAGTACATTGTGCCATATCCTGTGGCGTAACCTATGATAAGAAGCTCTTTGCTTCTCCAGTGTTCTCCAGTGGGGAAAACCCCATGCGCTATGCTACACATGTTTCCCATAACGTATTTCCTTGTGATACAATGTATCAAAATCTTCTGAAGTCTGTCATAGAGAATTTGTAATAGGAAATCCTTAACAATTATTCATGGTTAATTAGTGACATAGAACGTTAATGAGTAATCATCTACCCACCATCCTTTTGTGCTACCTGAATCAATAAACAATTTAGAGTTTCATGAGACTTGATTAGTCAGTGCTTTGTTTATTCAGACATGTAGATATTCAAAAGATGCACAATATTTACTCATCATCCCATTCTGTTTCATATAATAATATTTAGCTTTTATAAAATGCTTTTCATCCAAAGATCTCAAAGTACTTTACAGAGATAGGTAAGTATCTTCATCCACATTTTTCAAATGGGGAAATTGAGTCACAGACAGGTGAATTGAGCTGTCCAAGGGGACACAGCAAGTCAGCAGCAGAACTGGGAACAGAGCCTAAATCTCCTGACCCCAAATCCAGCATGCTATTCAGTGGGCCATGCTGTTTCTCAGGAAAAACTTGGGAAAAGAAGCAAGTAACTCAGTATGAGTGATGGCACTGAAATACTGTGTACATTTCAAATAAAGAAGATTTCATATAAGTCTAATTATGGTTTTTTTTCTTCTTCCCCCCTTTTGGACATTTTCTTCATCTGACTGCCCATCAATGTTTAGAAGAAATGCATATTCCTACTCCTATTACTTGTAAGTACCTAGCTGGAGGTAACTTTTCTTGAGCATGCTCATTATAGTGGTACGGGGGGGGGGGGGGGGGGGGGGTTGTATGTGGTTTTCTCCTTTAATCAGTTTTTTTTTTACCATTTCACTGATCTTTGTTCTTCAAACAGCCTGCATTTTTATTTCTTCATTTTCATACTATTTTTTTCATTGTTTCACACATTGTACCTACATACATCTCTTCAGAACAAGTAAGTGTGCACAGAAATGTCAGTTTACAATTGCAGCTCTCCAAATGCAGGTGTGCAAGTGGAGAAACCCTACATTGCCTCCTTTTTGATAGTTCAGTCCTCTGTATCCAGATTCTTGGAAATTCACATCTAAGAACTGTTGGTTGGAATTGCTTTGTCTTGAGGACAAACTACTTTAAAATATAATCAATTTCCAAGGGGGCATACCCTTGTCTTTGTATACGTTTCCGATTTAGGATATCAGGGTTAGACTTTAACCCAGCAAATATTCCAATCTTAAGCCAGACCTGTAACATGGTGGGTTTCAATCTAGATCATTTGATGTTTACATGGTTCAGATTTTTAATCCAAACCTGCTGCTCAGCCCCAGCGATTACAGTACATGTTGAAGTCAGTTGTTAATGCTAGTGAAAATGGTTCATGCACAGGTGCCACACATGCCAGGGCATGCCTGTGTGGCAGTTATTGGGTATGTCAAAGGAGTCTCACTTACACAAACTATTTGCCTTCTTTGACTTCAGTGAGAGTTAGTCTCTTTGATACATGAGCTGAATTTGACCTTCGGGGGCTATATTCTGCTCTCGGATATTTAGGTGTAAATCCAGAGTAACGACATAGACTCTAGAGCTAATTCAGATGCACACGGGTATAACTGAGAATAGAATTTGATCCAAAGCATTAAGAATTATGGGCATAAATTATAGTGGGATGAGGGCTGCTTTATCTTACAACTTCCAGCTAGTTTTAGTCCTTGCTAGAGCCCCTCCTCCTCACCAGGTAAGTTACTCAATTAGGGCTGGTCTACACTGGGGGGGGGATCAATCTAAAATACGCAACTTCAGCTATGTGAATAACGTAGCTGAAGTCGAAGTATCTTAGATCGACTTACCTGGGGTCCACATGGTGCGGGATCGACGGCCGCGGCTCCCCCATCGACTCCGCTACCGCCGCTCGCTCCGGTGGAGTTCCGGAGTTGATGGGGAGCACGTTCGGGGATCGATATATCGCGTCTTAACGAGACGTGATATATCGATCCCCGATAAATCGATCGCTACCCGCCGATACGGCGGGTAGTGAAGACATACCCTTAGCATACCTTTGGAATGTCAGAAAAGCACAGGTTGCACTATTTTGCTGCTTTCACCTATTTATACCCAATTTATGATCAACAGACACCATTGCCTATGAATTTGGCCCATGGTCTTCTATGAAAGCTGTACCCTCTTACTCCAGACTACATATGACAGAAATTTGCCCATTTCATAAATCGAGTTTTACATATTCAGAAATCATGTCAGGCGTGTGTTCAGAAACAGGGGAAGTGTCAAGCACAGCTTCTGGAACAGTCCCTTGGGCCCATAGTAGCTGGCACAATTTAGACCAACCTCAAGGTTGCCCTAACTTGCAGCAAGGGCAGAAACAGGCATCAGGAAGCTGCAATGGTGCCTTAGACCCTGCCCATTCACCCTCAATTTTCAGCTCCACCAAACAGAGCTCGATGACATCTGAGGATTAAACCTCACATATTAATGTGCGGTTGACAGTGTGGCACGCAGGAGGTGGGGAGAGAAGTTAGGCTTCTCTCATCCACAACTCAAATCTGAGAACGGTAGGAATGGCTTGAAGCATCATAGACTATCAAGTCAGCATAGACAGCTGTGTATAGGCTCCCTTTTGGGGGCTTCAAATCCCCTGAATTTCACTTTTGGTTCAAAATGAAACTTGGCCAAAACAAGGTCTTGTTGTTTTTAGTCACCATCATTATTTGAACAGTGCACAGGGCATGGAGGATACTTTATAGAAAAAGGAAAAAGGCAACTCTTTCTGTGCCTCAAGGCTCATACAGTTAAGTTTTACCTGGTTTCAGATTTCAAGTTAAAGCCACATGAAAGGGTGAGTTTTGCCTGGGTACTGAATAGGATCATAAATCTACCAGGGTTTGCACAATACTGAGCCCAGCCTCATACAAATGTTTTGACAAATTTAGTATGAATTTCATATCTGGATCCCAAACTGACCAAGTTTCACCTGTTTTGGGGTTTCATTGCCAATATTCTGCGCAGCTCTAGTGGAGTTGTGTGGGTTCCAAATAATGGTCTTATTTTGTGAATTTGAAAAAAAAAAAAAAAAAAGGTAGCCCCACTACTGGATAATCCTTAAACTCACTTCCCTGGATATAGAAGCTGTTGTACTGATAGCACTTTCCAGACTCCAGTAAACCAGAGTTAAGACCTGGGAATCTTCTTTATTCCGGTAAAATACTGTGGAATATCTTGGTGCCACAAACATGCACATTTCTCATGGAAATCCATAGCTCCTTTTTAAAGTGAATACAATTGTTATGGTACATTTTAATTTTTCTTTTTGGCCAATTATTCAAAAGCATGAAAGCAAGTCTTTGGAGGAATAGGTATGGGCTCCAGGTGGACAAGGACAGCCTGAAAGGACTACACTGAATTTGACTGACTATTTTACCTCTTGGACAGTTTATGAAGAAAATAGTTTATTTTCAAGTTTAGAGAAAACAAACAAACAACAGCAATAATTTTTTTAAATGAAACTAGTTCCTATTCAAGACCTTGTGTGCCAAGTTTTAACCCTGATGCAAATTTGAATTGGATGAGTTATCACTCCTGAAAAACAGGTTTTCAAATAAATCTGCTGACAGATCCTTAAATTCAACTGCATTGACTGGGTTTCTGAAACATACATTATTTGTGGTTTCCGTTTCTCGAATTCACCTCTGTGCTTCTTGGAATAATTCTTTTCTTTTTCTTTTAAATCATTGTTTTAACCCTTCCTCGGCTACTTGCCTGAAGTTTCTTTTCGCTAAGGGCCTGTATCCACAGCCCACCTCATGCTGGGTAGTACTTCCTCACCAGTGTAGTCTCACTGAAGTCACTGAAGAACTGATACTGTGAACTTTTGCAGAATTGGGCCGTAAGTGTTGCAATAGCTATTAATGGCCAGTCTCTGGCCTTGGATTCTAACAGATCTGATTGCAGTCAACAGCTAAAGAACCTGATTCTGCAAGGTGGCCAAATACCCACAATTCCCACTGAAGCCAATGATAGTTGAAGGTACTCATTCCTTTGCAGGAGGAGCTTTGCATGTCATGGAATAGGGTCCTAGTGAGCTGGGGGGGGGGGGAAGAGTAACAATAAGGAGAATCAGAAATGACACATTTTTTCTTTATGCATCTGAACATTATTACTCCTTATCTGTTGAGTGCTAATTCTGTGCTAAACTGGGCACCTTGTGGGATTTTTTTGTATGGCAACACCTCATCGAAAGACCAGACAGAACAAGTTGAGTGGGATACTCTATTGTTCTAAAGGGGAGGCCACCTGAACTAGTGGTTAAACAGAGGTCTCAAAGCAGGAGACCTGGGTCTGTTCCACATTCTGCTACTCTGGGTGATCTTGGAAGATGCACTTACTTTTTCTGTATCTCAATTTTCCCTTCTGTCAAATAGTTAGTTATTGCAGATGCTTTGAGATCATTGGACATATTGTGCTCTATGAATGGAAAATAGTATTAATATGTTCTCACCTTTTCGTTAGGGGAAGGGAAAGATAAAGGGTTGTGAACTCCTGCCTTCTTGATGATTGAACCACTGAATACATCATTGCTATCCACATGATCCATGCAATATTTCAAAGGAGTTACTCTGGATTTATATCAGTATACATTAGAAGAATTTGTCTCAAGGTTCCTAGCTCTGTCACACTGCATATATGTAGTCTTTTTTTGTTTTGGTCTTGTTAAATATATAATGTACTGTTGTGCTATTTGTTTTGAATATATATCCATAACATACCTGAGGGGTGCCATGCGGCTTAGTTAACATTGCAATAGAAGCCTTACATTTTTCATTTCTTTACTTTCTACCGTTTTAGCTAAACAGTCTTAATATTGCATTAATGTAGGTTTTGTATTTAAAACCAGGCACCTGCTTTAATCATTTATTCATCATACAGTAGTTTTCACTGCACGAACTTTTATAAAGGTTTTATTTATACCCAAACTAGTGAAAGAAAAAAGGTGTTGATTTTGTTGTGTCTTCTTTCCAGTGACTGTGTGTAGTGTGTTACCTAGGTAATAGCTGCAGGGTGAAATTTGATTGGCGGTGATGTCATATTTGATGGGAAGTATTTCTTGTGATAGGTGGATGCAGGCGATAATATCACCCAGATAGCGTACTATTTTGTTTTCTACAGTTTAAGAGAAACTCAGCAGCAGATAAGTAGCTTTTATTTACTCCTGATCCAGAAAAAGTGCCAAGCACCTTCTGCTCGGGGCTGAGCACTTTAAACTCCTGTTGTAATTGGATATGTAGGGTAATAGTTGCCGTAATTGAGCTAGGAGTGGTTTTTATTTATTTTTTTTATTTTAAGTAGTGATTCCACTGAAGGTGTTAGGATAAATTTTTACCAAACATTTTGAAAATAACAGTGTTTATGTGCTGAATTTATTTCCAACTTCTGTGGGGCGTGTGAAAAGAATTAAAACAGCAACTGCATTTTTGCATGTACTTGTCTATAACACACGCTCCCACACACACGTATCTCCATGGATGCAGGGATCTACCTGCACAGGCCAAACTGCAGGTTCAGAGTCATCAGAGAGTAAACTGATTTCCCATTAGTTGCAGGAAGACCAGGTCATGATTATGCCATCCTAATAAGGGTAAATAAAATGTTTTCCCGGTCGACAGGTGCCCTATTTATTTATTGCATGTTTGTGGGATGTTGGTTTTACACCAGCATTTTGTTC